TGTTCGCCAGTTGCAAAACTGAAGTCCATTTGGATTTTGCTTGCTATAGCTGCATAATATGATTATGAGATTTGACAAATGGATGTTAAAACCCCTTTCCTTAATGGAAACCTCAAGGAGGAGGTGTACATGGTACAGCCTGAAGGTTTTATATCCATATCAAATTCTAATTCAATATGTTAATTAGAGAAATCTATTTATGGGCTAGAACAAGCATCTAGGAGTTGAAATATGATATTAATTGTGATGAAATAGTCAAATCGTTTGACCTCATCAAATGAAATGAGGGTGCTTGCGTGTTTAAAGTGCGCAACAAGGATAGCGTGGTCTTTATAATCATATATGTTGATCATAGAGAATGATATTCCCTCATTGAAGTCCGTGAAAGAATGGTCACCCAAAATCTTCATGAATATCTTTTGTCTATGGTAGACAGAAAGAACTAGTAGAAGTTAATTATTCTATCACTAGTTTCATGTATGATAAGCAAGACTACGAGTCACAGTCAATATATGTTTTTAGTCTCAATGTAATAGTAGTGCTGAAAGAGTTGCAAGTAAGAAACTACTATAAATTCGACAACTAGAGCCTAGTAAATTGTTGCATTTGATGCAACATAGGTAAGCGTTTAGATACGTTAGTTCCTTAAAGAAATAGGGGTAATTCCTAGCGACGGTTATCCAATAATTGTTATTGTGACTGTACCGGTGTATTTGCACAAGCTAAGGAACCAAGATGCAAAGTAAGGAACTAGAAATTACCAGTATGTTATCATGTTTTGATACAAAGAGCAAGATGAGAAGTTGCAATAGAACGCATTCCCGTAGAGGACAATTTGGCTGGCTCATTCACCAAACCTTTGAGATGTGAGAAACACACTAGACTTTTGAGAGTCTAGGTATTAGACGCATCAGTGATTGGCACTAGGCCAAGTGGGAGATTGTTAGTATATATATGTCCTAGCGACAATCATTTTTTAGAGATATATGTACTTGATCACATTCAGTTTTATATATTTGATATAAACGGTATTACACATTGATGATTAAGTATTTCGATTTCCAATATCTTATTCATAATTGTGTTCCCTTGGACTTATGTTGTCAATAAGTAAGTGGGAGCTTATATGATATAACATAAGGTCCTAAAATAGCCCCAATCAATGATCATCAAGAATGGGATATTGATGATATGCGATAAGATTGGTATGTGGACTGCATCATATTTTTAGAAAGTATAGTTGATCTCACAACTATGAGTTCCTGTAATTCATGATGGTCACATAGATATTTTAGAGAATATTGGCATACCCACCGAGAAACCATTTGATAAGTTCTATTCATGTGTCTATGGGATTATCGGTGTATAGAGTAGTGTAATAGTCCTACGAGTTGAGGTCAATACGTACTACATGTGCGGAGTGATGTACTTTGACCATGACCAACGCTTGCACTCCAATCGGGGTAGATACAGCATGTGTTGGGTGCATCACGAAGCACATGGAGTAGTAGTTGAGCCAAGAAAGGATTCATTCCTCGTAATAGATTAAGAGAGAACATTCTACTTCTCATATCTAGATGGATCATAAAGTCATTGGCCAATGCAAAGATATATTCGTTTTGGATATCGAATATGATCGTTATGGATCATCTAGAAAGATTGAGAGACAGAGACTGAGTTATTGGGATAGACACTATATCATGTTCTAGACTTAGTTGAATGTTCGTTGAATGAAAGGACCGTATCACTATGCGCTCTATATTACAGGGAGTTTGTATAGTCCTCACAAACGTCCTTATATATTAAGTTTGTCTGGAGAATCGTCTAGGGATTCGCTAAGACCTTAATTTGATTAGTGCTTAATATATAAGGCCCTATGGGTCACACAACAAGTGATTATACCTTTCGATTGAATTGTTAGAAGGAATTAAATATTATTAATTGGATTAAATAATATTTAATTTGTAATACTGAAAATGAATTAAATATTAATTAGATTAAACATATTTAATTCATGAAGCTGAAGGAGAGTTCTATTTGATAGAATTAATTAAGTAAGATAAATTTGATTTATCATACTTAAATAAGATGTATTTATTATTTAATAAAGTAGATATTTTCTTTTGTAATTTTGAATTAAAAGAAAAGTAAATAAAATAAATATTAATATATAATAATTAGAAAGTGGCGTGCAGCCACATCTCAATTATTATTATTATTATTATTTGGTTTTGTTTTATCTACTTATTTAATTAATAAGGAGTATTGGTCCTGTTAGGATTAGAACTCATTAATGAAGAACACTTTCATTGTGATTGGGAAACTAGTTTAGAACTAGTATAAATACACCCTCCTCCTTCATAATTTGAGACCAGTTTTCAGATTCAGTATTACCAGTTTATTTCCCTGCGAAGAGATTTCCTAGCCTTTCTCTTAGGGAGATCTAACCGTTCTTTCGGAAAGGAGAAATCACGTGGATACCAAAGGTCAAGGATTATCACCGCTAGGCTGGAAGATCTGTAAGTTCTGACTCAGATCTGTTATTATTGTTTTATTCGTTGTTTTGTCATAATCAGGGAAGATCTGTTTGGGAAAATTTTAAACTTCCGCTGCTGTACTTTCGAGGTACGTTACATCAATTTTCTAACACCCGCTACCGTGCGGGCCCGGGACCGGCCCGGTCTGGCGGTCCGGGACCGGGTGTAGACCCGAACCGGTGGGGATGGGCGGGGCGGGCTCGGTTCCGGAAATAGTTGACCCGGCCCGGCTGGGCCCGGGTCCGGGTCCAACGGTCAGTTTTTTTTAAAAAAAATGTTTTGGGCCAAAATAGCCGTTGGGGGTGGGCTGGGGACAACCCAAACGGCTATATAGCCGTTGGGTGGGCTGGGGACAACCCAAACGGCTATATAGCCGTTGGGTGGGCTGCAGGGGGGTCCGGGGGGTTTGGAGGGTGAGGGGTGGGGTGGGGGTGGGGGTAAAAAATCTATAAATACTCCTAATCTAAAACATTTTTTCATCTCTTCTCCAATTCTTCCTAAATCCTATTCTTAACTCTCTACTCTCTAAAATTAATAAAATTAATTAATTAATTTTACATTATGTAATTTATTCAAAATAAAACATTCAAAAAAATTTGAAATCAAAATTCAAAAGCCCCAAACGGCTCTATTGAAATTTGAATTTTGAATCAATAGAGGCATAGAGCCGTTGGGGGTGGGGTACAAAAAATTCTATAAATACTCTTATTTTCTAACTTTTTTATACACATCTTCTCCAACATCCAATCTCTAATCTCCATTCTCCAATCTCCATCTTCATCTCCATCTATTGTAGAATTATTATATCTACCATTTTTAAGATGGAAAGTCAAGATGCCGTTATACGGTATAATTTTGATAAGCAGAAGGACCCGAAGACCGGGATGTGGTACGCAACTTGCAAATGATGCGAGAAAAAATGTAGCATGGGGGTTTCAGGCGGATACGGGATGACAATGAAGCATATTAAGTCATGTGATAAAGCCAAAGGATCGGGAGGTGCGGGAAGTTCCGATTGATTACAATTTACAAAATGTATGTCTCTTGAAGTTTGTTTTAATTTTCAAATGTAGTTCCTATTTCATTTCAAATAAATGCACTTGAAGTTTGTTTTTAATACTTGTATAAAACTATAAAGTATAAATTATAAAAAAATTACTTTTACCGGCCCGGCCCGGCCCGGCAGGTGGCCCGACCCGTGACCCGGGCAGGTGGCCCGACCCGAACTGGACCCGTCAAACCCTCAGGCCGGTCCCGGGTCCATGTGATACAAACCGGCGGCCTGACCGGGCCCGACCCAGCCTAGGCCCGGCCCGGCCCGAGTCCACCTCTAATCCCCACTACTTATGAAATGGATGCTACTTTTTTACCGGATGACAATATATTACGTGAACATTATATTTTATTGAAAAAACTGACAAATATTATGAAAGGAACTCCAAATATTTGAGAGATGGTGCTCCAAGTATTTTAAAGATTGCTACAATAGTAGGGATGGACTCGGTCCGGGCCGGGTCCGGGTCGGGCCTTGTTTTGGGTGACCCGAGCCCGGACCGAAAAACCCACGGGCCAGGCCTACCCGGACCGGTCACTGACCGGGCCAAATTTTTTTTTGTTTTGTTTTTTCAATTTTTTTAACTTTTCGGGTTGGGCTGGGTATTTTGGGCCATTTGGGGTGGTTTGGGGGGTTGGGGGTGGGAGGGAGGTTAATTAGGAAGAGGAAAACAAAAAATATATATATATAATGGGCCCGGCCCGGCCCGACCCGGACCTAGGCCCGACCCGGACCCGGCCCGGACCCGAGTCCAACCCTATACAATAGAATTTGACACATTATTTAAAAAAACTACAGTAGAGGTAAAGAATAGTGTAGAAGAATTTTACGTTAAGAGATTGAGTATTTTTAAAAGAAATGATGGAGCTGATGGAAAACTAGAATACACCTCAAAAAGAAAAGTGTAAAGATGTTTACTTGGACTGAAATTTGTTGGTCTAGTCTGATATGTATAAGTCTGGTAAGGTATGGTCCGGTAAACGTCTGGTTTCTGTGTATTTTATAACTATAGAAGTTTGATCTGATCTGTTTAAGCTTGGTCTGGTCTGGGACCGAAAGCAGTCCAAATAAATACATCCTAACAAACATTTAAATACAAATGGAATAACATTTTTCGTTATTGGTATTATGAATAAAACAACAATAATTATGCAGCAGGATGGCAATGAGAGTGTTTTACTACACAAGATGACAGTTTTGAACTTTTGATTGCTGGACATTGTCACCAAAGGCGCTGAGAATTGTGACTGGCACCGTCGCCTCAGATTGCCTGTGATGGCTTGATTCATGCTTTTGTGTGCATTACAATACAATTAAAGGAAACCGATTTTTGTTATGAAAACATTGTAAGAGTAGAATTATAATATGAATTCTTATTTGGGGAATAAAGGCACGTGCTTCTATAATTTCACTTTTGTTAAATTATTTTCTTATTTAGGGAATACTCAATAAAATAAGGGAACCAAATGCTGCATTTACTACTATATCAGTGACTATTGTTCTATTTTACAACATGAGCTTCTATTTTACAACAAAAAAGTATGACTGTTTTGCTACTAAAAATGGTGAAAGTTCGAACTCTATGCATTCCTATTGGTGTAGAGAAGATAAATGCAGTTGAGTTGTAATATGGAGGAAAGAGGTAAGGGCAGGGAAAGACACAATAAAAGGTTCCGACAAAAGTGCCTCCGTAAGCGAGTGATATACTACCGCTTATTCTCTGGCATTTCAACAACCCCTTTTCCTTGAGGCTTTCTCGCCCATGGCCTTCCTCTAGTATCTATATATGGGGCCTAAAAACAATCCTCATGCACATAAGTATTAAAAAAAATGATCAAGAGAAAGAAATAGAGATGAGAGAAGCGTGAGTGTGGCAAAGAAAGAACTCTTCAAGTGTGAGGCGTTGTTTCCGGAAGGTGGGGTGGTTGGCACCGCTCCTCCATTTCCTGAAGTGGCCTCTGGTACTATAGTGGTAGGCGAAGGTGCTTCAGCCGCTGGCCTTTGTTTGTTTACAGGAAGAGTAGTAGTGGTGTTGGATTGTTTACTACTCTCATCATTACCTGAGAAGTAGAAGAAGAAATGTCTACAATAAGTCCTCATTATACTGACTCAGTAATACTGAGTATATACTTGGTATTACTATCATTAAAGGCACAAGCAGAAAACCATACAAACACAAGAATGACACCCTACCACACCTACATCCCGTAAAGAAAGAACTTTTCTATTTGCATTTTTTATTAAAATAAAAATATATGAATGGCTTGTTATCCTGGGACATCCCACTTGGGGGAGTCAGGCTCGTATGCTTCTTCTGCAAGAGGAAAAGGGAAATAAACTTACAGTCCGCTGATGGCTCCCAGCCCAAAACTAGTTTCTCACTATCAAATATGACCCGTTGACCCGTCATGAAATTTTCTGGAAATTATGAAAACAAAAACAAAACCCAAAAAAAAAAGCAAGATTAGAGAATGAAGCAACATGGCAAGAAAATATTCACCATCAAGTTTGACTTCATATCATTCTTGTATGTGAATGCAGCAATGGGAAAAGACGCTGTTAAGGGCCTTGGTACAAGATCTAGTCCAAGGTCGATGCTTCTGAGAAGAACAAGAAAAATATGAATCTATGGTGCCTGAAATATTAATCGACTCCCGCCCTCGGCAAGGAGTTTGTCACAGGTTCCACCGTACGCCAAATAAAATTAATATTCCAAAGCTAATCTCATTAATCCAACTGATAAGCCTTAAATAGGCTAAAGACAAGTTTCCTAAAACAATAATAGGAAAGAAGTAATACAGAAGCTCCTAAACTAGTATAAGGAAACCTGAATAAATAAACTCAAAGTAGGAAACTGATTTAATTAATTAAAATAGACTCAAAGTAGGAAACTAATTTAATTGATTAAAATAATGAGGACCACTCAAGCTGGTCCCTTCTTTGACCGCCTCTGGTAGACTCTGCCAAATCGACCCATATCATCACTCCCTCCGTTGACAACGAGCTTGTCCTCAAGATCGAAATCAGGAAAATTCTCACAGAAGGAATCCAATGTTTCCCATGTAACCTCTTCCAAAAGCTGTCCTGCCCAGTAGACAAGTAGTTCCCAGCTACCCTGATATGGACGAGCCTTCAAAATGGACAGAGGTTGGAGTGGGGGTGGCAGGCTGTTCAGTTCTGGTAAGGTTCCCATCGTCAAAGGTGTGTCTCCTCTGTGTGGCTTGAGTAAAGAGACATGAAAGACGTCATGAATTTTGCTTGATGGAGGAAGTATCAGGCGATAGGCAGCTTTCCCAATAGCTTCCTTTATCTGAAAGGGCCCAAAAAACTTGGGTGAAAGCTTGTGAGTATGCCTGATGAGTGACAATTGGCGATGTGGATGAATTCTGAGCCAAACCCAATCACCTGGGGTGAACGACAAATCCCGATGGCCCTTATCGTATTGGAGTTTCATACGTTGTTGAGCTTGGAGCAATCTAGTCTTGGCTATGGAGAGGATGGAGTCGCGGTCAATGAGCGCTTGGTCAACTGCGTCGAGCTTGGCAGTGCCAGGTGTGTAAGAAAGTAGCTTGGGCGGGTCACGACCATACACTAACCTGAAAGGAGTATCACCTAAAGTTGTATGGAAAGATGTGTTGTAGCAATACTCCGCCCATGGAAGCCAACGAACCCAATCTCGTGGACAGTCGCCGGTAGTACAACGGAGGAACATTTCCACGGTGCGATTCACCACCTCAGTTTTATTGAAGGAAAGAAATAATTCAGTTTCAGGATTCTTAAAAACACAATATTGTAGTCAGCAGTTACATATCTTTGACATTTACTATAGTATTATTATTTACCTTATATACATGATTAAGAGATGTATAAATAGCAACCTTGTAAATCAGTTTTATATACACAGAAATATATTCAAAACACTTGTTCTCTTCTCTCTGTTATGGTATCAGAGCCACACGAGCTCTAACCAGCCATCTCCCTCTCCCTATGGAGGCAGATGACCCCCCTCAGCAAGGGGATCTCAGAAATTCCCCAAACGGGCAGCCTATCATTTCTTCTACAAATTCCTCTACTGCAGTCATCGACCCCCCTCACTCCAGATGGGTTAATCATCCTCAACCCCAGCCACTTCCCAGAAAAACTTGAAGGAACGAATTACCTCATATGGCGTGACCAAGTGCTTGACCTCTTGGTTGGCTCTCATCTCGACCAATACATCAGTGATGGTGCTGTTCCGCCACCTGTCAGTGAAGCTGCAGGCCATCTCCAGTGGAATCGTCAAGACCGTCTCCTCCGACATGCCCTTGTCTCCTCCCTGAGCTCGGCGTGCAAACCATTGGTTGGATCCGCACGTACCTCTGCTGCGGTGTGGAAGACCCTAGAGCAGCTTTACGGCACCCGTTCAGCAGCTCAAATCCGGAATATGAAGGATGTTTTCCGCCACACTCGACAGGGATCTAAGGCAGTGGGTGAGTATCTTCATCATCTCCGTACCCTCGCCGATGAATTAGCCAAGGCTGGCCGCCCTGTTGACGACGACGACTTCGTCCTTCAAGCCATGGAGGGCCTCCGACCTGAGTTTGAATCATTCACAAACTCCATTCGCACGTGTGGAGATAACAGTTTCGGCAACATCTACGCCTTGCTCACCGGGTTCGAAGCTACTCTGCGGCGGAAGGAGGCTCTGGATACGACTGTTGGCGTGGTGACGGCGAATAACGTGGCGATGGGGGAGGCGAATACATTTACTACCCGCAGAACTCCAGGGCAGCCTAATACACCTTCTTTATTAGGCCCTGGCCCATCTCATTATCAGCCCAGCCGCACAAACAACTCAGCCCGGGGTTCTACCAGGAGTCAGCCCAGAAACCAGCGGCCCAATTTTTCTCAAAATTCAAACCGACGTGGCCAGAATACTTTTCGGGGTACCACCAACAATATGACAACCCGCAACGTCTCCGGGAATAGTAATCCCAATTTCGGAGCAAATATTATGTGCCAAATTTGTGGGAAACCAAACCACTCCGCTCTCAATTGTTGGCATCGGTTTGAACAACAGGCTTATCCTTCTCAGGTCAACACGGCTGTTACTAATCATAATGGATGGTTACTTGATTCTGGAGCAACCAATCATGTCACCAACAACCTGAATAATCTTACCTTGGCATCCGATTATACTGGCACTGATATTCTCGTTATTGGTAACGGTAAAGGTCTTGCGATAGCACAAGTTGGGCATATGACCCTTCACTCTCTTTCTCTACCTAATACCCTTTTCGTCCCTTCTATTCATACCAATTTAATTTCTGTCGCCAAATTATGTCGTGATAATGATGTACTAATTGAATTTCATTCTTCATTTTGTCTTGTTAAGGACCGGCGAACGGGAGCAATTTTGTTACGGGGTATGAATAAAGGAGACGTCTACAGCTTGCCAGATGTACCCCCTCCACCATCTCCGTCTGCTCACATCACACAAAAATATTCCCTTAATAATTGGCATTGTCGCTTAGGACATCCAGCCCTCCCTATTACTAAAAAAAATTTGTCGTCCTTAGGTATTTCCTTTTCTGATGTTACTTCGAATAACTCTTTGTGTGTCTCGTGTGCTAGTAATAAAAGCCATAAGCTGCCCTTTGCAAAATCATCTCTTTCGAGCTTTGGACCTCTAGATTTAATCTATACAGATGTCTGGGGTCCCGCTCGTGTTAATTATATTGATGGCTTTCGTTACTATGTTATCTTTGTTGATCATTATACCAAGTATATTTGGTTTTATCCTATAACTCATAAAAGTGAGGTCACTCCACTCTTTCAAAAGTTTAAAAAGATTGTTGAAAACTTTTTTCAACGCACACTTAAAACAATTTATTCTGATGGGGGAGGCGAATACATAACCTTAGGGAAATTCTTAAGCACATGTGGGATTTCTCATTTATTTACACCTCCCTACACTCCAGAGCACAATGGCTTTGCTGAACGTCGGCATCGTCACATTGTGGAAACTGGTATCACCCTACTTCACCATGCATCTATGCCTCTTAAATATTGGTCTTATGCTTTTCTTACCGCAGTTTATCTCATTAATAGACAACCTGCTCTCTCTCTTAACTTCTACACTCCATATGAAAAACTCTTCCAACAACCTCCTAATTACACTAAACTTGCTGTTTTTGGGTGCCAATGTTTTCCGTGGTTACGTCCCTATACCACTCATAAATTAGAACCACGCTCCAAACCATGTGTCTTCCTGGGATATTGTGACCAACAAAGTGCCTATCGTTGTCTTGATCTTACCACCAACCGTATCTTTGTCAGCAGACATGTTGTGTTTGATGAGTCAGTCTTCCCTTTTTCTACATCCTCACCACCCGTCTCAAATATCACTTCTGAAGTTGATCACTGGCTTCCGCCTTCTATGTCTTATTTTCCCATTTCAGGTACTCTGGCTGCGGGGGCGTCTCCTCCTACTCATACCTCGGCTCAACAATTGACTCTTGACACGTCACCCACTACCTCTACTCAAACTGATATCCCGCTTTCTCCTCTCCCTAAACCCACACCACCACAAATTATTACTTACCAACGCCGACCCAAACCCAATTCTCCTATCCCCCCCCCTTGTTTACCCGCCACTGATCTCACCACCTCAAATCCACCCCTCGATACTCCACCGCCCAAACGTACCCATCCGATGACCCTTCGACCCCGTAAACAAGCCAATGTTGCCACTGTTGATCCTTTACCTCACCATATAATTCCCACTTGTGCTTCTCAAGCTATGCAGGTACCACAATGGCGGAGTGCTATGACAGTAGAATTTGATGCCTTGGTTCGACAGGGCACTTGGGATCTTGTTCCGGCTCAGCCCGGTCAGAATATTGTGGGTTGTAAATGGGTATATACAGTGAAGTATAAACCGGATGGCTCCTTGGATCGCTATAAGGCTCGGCTAGTGGCTAAGGGCTTCCATCAGCGCCCCAAGATTGATTATTCCGACACCTTTAGTCCGGTCATCAAACCGGTCACCATTCGTATTGTTCTGACTATTGCTCTTTCTCATGGTTGGCCAGTACATCAGTTAGATGTCAATAATGCATTCCTACATGGGACTCTTCAGGAGGAAGTTTACATGAAGCAACCTCCGGGCTTGAATGATGGTTCTGGGTTTGTTTGTCGTCTTCGGAAATCTATTTATGGCCTTAAACAGGCACCTCGTGTGTGGTATCAATCTCTTAGTGGCTTTCTTCTGTCACTTGGGTTTTCTCAATCGGTTGCTGATGCCAGTCTGTTCATCTTTTCCTCCCATTCATCTTACATCTATGTTTTGGTCTATGTGGATGATATTATTGTTACTGGTTATACACCCGACTTGATACGTCAGACTATTGACTCATTGGCCCACCGATTTTCTATCAAGGATCTTGGCTCCCTACACTATTTCTTGGGCATGCAGGTTACTCCTACACAGGGCGGACTCTTCCTTGATCAACATAAATACATTATGGACTTATTAAAAATGTTTAAAATGGATGAGGCCAATCCGGTAGCTACGCCGTTAGCTCCCTCTGCTTCATTAACCCTGTTTGACAGTTCAGGTACATGTGATGCCACTCTCTATCGCCAGGTCCTCCCGGGTCACTTCAATATTTGAATCTTACCCGTCCAGATGCTGCCTTTGCTATTAACAAACTGGCTCAATTCATGCATAAACCTACGGTCAATCATTGGCAACTTCTCAAACGTCTTTTGCGCTATCTACAAGGAACTGCTTCTCATGGCCTGTTTCTCTGTCCTAGCACATCCCCCTCTCTCCGTGCCTTTGCTGATGCTGACTGGGCAGGGAACCCTGATGACCGTTCTTTTACTAGCGCATATGCCATTTTTCTCGGGGGATCTCTTATATCTTGGAAATCAGTTAAGCAACGTACCATTGCTAAGTCTTCCACGGAAGCTGAATATCGAGCTCTTTCCACCGCTGCCTCTGAAATTATTTGGATTGAATCTCTGTTGCGTGAGTTGCGACACCCGCTCCCTTCTCCTCCACTCCTCCTTTGTGATAACAAAGGTGCCACTACGTCTTCAGCAAATCCTGTCTTCCACACTCGCATGAAACATGTGGCAATTGACTTTCATTTTGTCCGGCAGCGGGTTCAACGTGGCCTTCTTCAAGTTCATCACATTCCATCCTCTGATCAGATAGCTGATGCCCTCACCAAACCGCTCCCCCGGCAACGCTTCATTCTTCTTAGAGACAAGCTCAGGATTCTTGGTAGTGACAGAATACCTGGCTTGCGGGGGCGTATTGAAGGAAAGAAATAATTCAGTTTCAGGATTCTTTAAAACACAATATTGTAGTCAGCAGTTACATATCTTTGGCATTTACTATAGTATTATTATTTACCTTATATACATGATTAAGAGATGTATAAATAGCAGCCTTGTAAATCAGTTTTATATACACAGAAATATATTCAAAACACTTGTTCTCTTCTCTCTGTTAAGTTTGACCATCTGTTTGAGGGTGGTAGGCTGAAGAAAATCAAAGTTGGGATCCACAAAGACGGAATAACTCACGCCAAAAGGAGCTCACAAACACTTTATCGCGGTCAGAGACAATTGATTCTGGCAGGCCACGGAGGCGAAAAATTTCAGAGAAGAAGACTGCTGCCACTGAAACAGCCGTAAATGGATGTGCTAGTGCAATGAAATGAGCAGCCTTAGATAACCGATCAACAACCACAAAAACAACTGATTTTCCCCGAACCTTGGGCAATCCCTCGATGAAGTCCATGGAGATATCTGCCCAAATGTGATGAGGAATGGGCAGGGGCTACAACAAACCTGCAGGCTGGAGGTTCAGCCATTTGTGTTGTTGACACACTTGGCAATCCCGCACATGGTCAGTGATGGTCTTTTTCATGCCAGGCCAATAAAATTCGTGACGCACCCTCTGTAACGTCTTAGTACTGCCTTCATGGGCCATGGAGTGGAACAAATTGACTATAGTTGGAATTGCAGCAAAAGATGGCAGTAAGTACACTTTATGTTGGAAAAATAGCAACCCCTCTCGATATGCCCACTCGGTTCCCAAGGCACCTTCGTCAAGCTGGCGTCGAAGAGCTCCAATTTCGGACGAGGAAGCTTGTTCCTTACGGATATCCTCAAGCAAAGTTGTATAAGGAATGGACAACACTGCTAGGTGAGGCGGAGACTCATCACGGCGAGATAAGGCATCGGCAACCGTGTTGTACCGACCAGGTTTGTATTCTACCCGGAAATTATACCCCATCAACTTACTGAGCCAATGTTGTTGGGGAGAAGTCGTTAAGCGTTGCTCCAGTAAGTGTTTCAAGCTAGAATGATCGGTACGAATTAAAAATTCTTGCCCTTAGAGGTACGGTCGCCAATGGGTTACTGCCTTGGCCAACCCGATCAATTCCCGCTCGTATGCGGCTAATTTGATATGACGATCTGCTATTTTGCGGCTGAAATACGCGACAGGATGACCCTCTTGTTGCAAAACTGCCCCAAAGCCACTCCCTGAGGCATCACATTCGATGACAAATGGAATTGAAAAGTTGGGCAGTTGAAGTACAGGAGCTGTGGCCAAGCAATGTTTAAGTTGGTTAAAGGCAACAGTGGCCTCCTCATTCCAATGGAATGAATGTTTCTTTAAGAGTTGCGTGAGTGGCAAGGCAACCTCCCCATAATTTTTGATAAATTTACGGTAGTAGCCAGCCAGGCCTAGAAACCCACGCAAGGCCGTTAGTGTCCCTGGCAGAGGCCACTCTTGGATGGCTTTAACTTTCTCCTGGTCAACCTTGACGCCTTTTTCGTGAATGATGTGACCCAAATACTGCACACTATCAGTTCCAAAATAGCATTTGGAGCGTTTAAGAAATAGCCCATGTGCTTGGAGGATATCAAATTGTTAAGGGCCTTGGTACAAGATCTAGTCCAAGGTCGATGCTTCTGAGAAGAACAAGAAAAATATGAATCTATGGTGCCTGAAATATTAATCGACTCCCGCCTTCGGCAAGGATTTGTCGCAGGTTCCACCGTACGCCAAATAAAATTAATATTCCAAAGCTAATCTCATTAATCCAACTGATAAGCCTTAAATAGGCTAAAGACAAGTTTCCTAAAACAATAATAGGAAAGAAGTAATACAGAAGCTCCTAAACTAGTATAAGGAAACCTGAATAAATAAACTCAAAGTAGGAAACTGATTTAATTAATTAAAATAGACTCAAAGTAGGAAACTGATTTAATTAATTAAAATAATAAGGACCACTCAAGCTGGTCCCTTCTTTGACCGCCTCTGGTAGACTCTGCCAAATCGACCCATATCATCACTCCCTCCGTTGACAACGAGCTTGTCCTCAAGATCGAAATCAGGAAAATTCTCACAGAAGGAATCCAATGTTTCCTATGTAGCCTCTTCCAAAAGCTGTCCTGCCCAGTAGACAAGTAGTTCCCAGCTACCCTGATATGGACGAGCCTTCAAAATGGACAGAGGTTGGAGTGGGGGTGGCAGGCTGTTCAGTTCTGGTAAGGTTACCATCGTCAAAGGTGTGTCTCCTCTGTGTGGCTTGAGTAAAGAGACATGAAAGACGTCATGAATTTTGCTTGATGGAGGAAGTATCAGGCGATAGGCAGCTTGCCCAATAGCTTCCCTTATCTGAAAGGGCCCAAAAAACTTGGGTGAAAGCTTGTGAGTATGCCTGATGAGTGACAATTGGCGATGTGGATGAATTCTGAGCCAAACCCAATCACCTGGGGTGAACGACAAATCCCGATGGCCCTTATCGTATTGGAGTTTCATACGTTGTTGAGCTTGGAGCAATCTAGTCTTGGCTATGGAGAGGATGGAGTCACGGTCAATGAGCGCTTGGTCCACTTCGTCGAGCTTGGCAGTGCCAGGTGTGTAAGAAAGTAGCTTGGGCGGGTCACGACCATACACTAACCTGAAAGGAGTATCACCTAAAGATGTATGGAAAGATGTGTTGTAGCAATACTCCGCCCATGGAAGCCAACGAACCCAATCTCGTGGACAGTCGCCGGTAGTACAACGGAGGAACATTTCCACGGTGCGATTCACCACCTCAGTTTTATTGAAGGAAAGAAATAATTCAGTTTCAGGATTCTTTAAAACACAATATTGTAGTCAGCAGTTACATATCTTTGGCATTTACTATAGTATTATTATTTACCTTATATACATGATTAAGAGATGTATAAATAGCAACCTTGTAAATCAGTTTTATATACACAGAAATATATTCAAAACACTTGTTCTCTTCTCTCTTTGTGGCACTGGGGTAATGTTGTTGTTGTATCTTAGTAGAAGCTAAACAAAAATAATCAATAATAAATAATGCAACTGTTTTTTGTCCCATAAAATTCTTCCAATTTACCGTTTTGAGGCGTCCCAAAAAATTCTTCTCATTTCCTTTTTGGAAAGTTTTGTGTGGCTAACATTCAATTACCTTTTTCTTACTCAAACACAACCATACATTTCCATTTTATTCTCACTTTCTTAACTCCAATCCAATTCAAACCAGGAAGAATTTTATGGGATGGAGGGAGTAGTACTTCCTTCCCATTGAACAATGTCAACTTTGAATTAGGTAAGAAATAAGAAAAGTAAAAATTATGTGGTTGAAATTTGTGCAAAGGAGAGAGAAATGAGCAGAACCACATATTTAAGTTACGTTAATGGGAAAGTGATAAACTTCTGGGACGAATAAAAGTGGAAAGTTGGCAAATTCCAATGAACGGATGAAGTATTTTATTTTGAAGTGAAAATGAATCAGTAGAAAAAGAAAACAAATACCAGAACTTACGTCCAATGATGTTGATGGATCCATTAGTTACGATAGCTAAGCAATACATACACGTCTGAAGATTGAGAAAATGTGAAAACAACTTACAACAAAGTAGAATAGAGATAATAAATTTTTTAAAATAAGAACCAAACCCAAAACAGAACCTTACCTTAGTACACAAAAGTTCTACAGGCTGAAAAACTTCAAACTGGTCACCACCTTTCATTGTTAGGTACACACGAGGAACATCAAAAGATGTTTGATTTGGACTGAAAACAGAGAAATGGGGAGAAGTTCAAATTGGAGTTTTCAAATCAGCCCAACAACATACATATCAGTTAAGCCGTAAGAGATTAGGGTTAGGAAAATAATTCAAACTCTTATATGGTCAGTGATGTGGGGGTGATGTAAACTTTCAAAAGAACACCCAACCCACCTTAAATCGTAGCAATATTCAAAGGGAATACTGGAATCTGGGGCAAATTTGTGGCGTGGCTCCTTTGCATTTGAATTAAACTGCAAAGGTGATAAAACGTTTTTAGCAAAATTGTAAAAATAAATAAATTTGGGGATGCCTGATGTACTGGACTTACATTTTCTGTAATGATTGTGTATGCGGGGTCTCTTAAAAGAGTGAAGGAGGTACCAGAGTCAAATATGGCTGTAAAATCAACATTCGTGACATTTCCCTCCACGGCTATTTGTGTGAGGCTGATATTGTAAGTTGGGCTGAATTAAGAAGGAAAAATGAATTAAGTCTGCCTTAGGCTAGCTAGCTTTAAGGTAAGAAAATGCACATAGCCACATATATCAAGGAACCTTACAAAATGATCATTCTGCCCTAGTTGAAGCTAAGCATTAAACATGGTTTATTTTCAGGGTACAAAATCATATAATGAAAGCCAAATTAATAATGATGCATTTGGAAAACTGGTGAAACATGAGTTGATTTCATTTTCATTTTCATTTACCCCAGTGCCGCAAAGGCTCCCACCTACGGTGGGGTAAGGGGGGGTCGGATGTACGCAGTCTTACCCCTGTACTAAAAAGCACAGAGAGACTGTTTCCGGATGACCCATAGTGAAAATCGCGTCCAAAATTGCATGGACTGACTGCTGCTCCATAACAAAGAAGCGCAGACAGTTTAATGAGCCATTTTGCTTTATTCCATCATAATCTCAAGCCAAAAAATAATGAATCTTTGGCTCCATTGCAAATGATGGAAATGAAACATGAGTTGATTAAATTCCTAAAAAGATAACTGTTTTGCAACAACCTGTTTGCCTAACTAAGCAACAGCTCTTAGGGATAGAGGGAGTATTATTATATTTTTTAAAAGGAAACTATGTTGAGTTAGGGAATTGATTTGATGAGTTCAAGCTTATTTAATAATCTTCTTGAACTGAAGTAACTTTTCAATGAATTGGAGATCTTTTCATTTATAATTCTACTTTTATGCTAGCTGATGAGCAGTGTGAGTTAATTGGTACTCTGTAACTTATAGTTTATAAGCTCGTAGATCTGATATAATGTTTTGATAAAAATTACACCATTAGCAAGTTTACAAAACAGAAACATAAAATGCATACAAGGATATATTTAAAATGATCTGAAAATCAAAATGAGGACTAAATGAAATCATCATTAGCTTGTTTGAAAAGCTACTCAAATTAAGTTATTAATGGAGTATTTCAATCAAAAGAAGCTTATTTGTAAAAGCTTCCTTATGACATGCTAAACATTGTCTTAACCTGCAATATGAACGACATGCTATATTCCTGTAAACTTATAAACATATCTTTTTATGTTATTTTATATTCCTAAACTAATATCAATGAATATTCCCAAACACAATATCAGACTAGCTAGATATCAGCTACAAGTTAAAAACTACGGAGTGTAAACTATTACTTAACTTATTAGCTATTATTTCTGAATTATCATATATCAGGTAGCTTATTGGTTTTGCACACATTTTCTAGGAGAGATGCATACTGTGATTGGTCAAGATTTAAGGGTGTTTCGCTCAGGTTTGAACTGCCTTTGTCTCCAAAAAGTATTCTCCCAACTCCTTCTTTTCCGAAACACATTGAAAATGACTTTGGAGCAAGTCCACTAGCAGCTAAAATACTAGGAACAGAAGTATCATCTGTACCCAGCCCAAGCAAGCCATTAGGAGCAGCAGAATCCAGAAATGCACCAGTTTGTCTTATTCCACAACTGAAAAATATCCAAGAAATAAATGCCATCAAACAGTAACGAAGTGCAATACTAATCCTACTTATAGTGTTTTCAGTTACCAGGTTTAACTATATCATATGATGTGATGTTTAATCTGTGAGTACTCGGCCAGACTTTGCTAGTTTGTCTACGTACTTGATCTGATTCAAAAAACCAAGTTAGTTGGCTATTTTTGCGAGTCGGAGAGTTTGATTATTCAAAAAATGACTCAGTCATAGTTAAATGGGAAAGATTAAAATGAAAATTGGGTTATTATGAGGTTAAGAAACAACTCAAGGACTTTAAACTAATGAAAAAAATCATTAAGGTTCTATTAGTTCGTAAAACTGAAAACTCTCACTCAAGGTAAGCTTTTGGACATATAGGAAGACGAAAAAATGATGATTTTGACCCAAATGAAGTTAGGACTGGCTAGATGGTGGAATTTTCTTTACATATTTTCGCTAGGTATTGTGATTTTTGTACTTTGTATGTATGTATGTATGTATGTATGTATGTATGTATGTATGTATGTATGTATGTATGTATGTATGTATGTATGTATGTATGTATGTATGTATGTATATGACAAATAATGGTATGAGTATTGATGTATGAGAAATTTGTGGCATATATTTTAAAAAAATTATTAATCAAAAGCCATCACCGATTGCTTATGAGGAGTACCTGGTCATAACCACTACTCTGCCTTTGCCTGATCAGCTACCCAGTAATGATTTAAGTACCTATATCATATGTGACTTGTCTCTTATCTTGTCAGTTTATATGAAACATTAGTTTCATTTGATCAACCATGACTTCTTATTAGACAAAATGACGTATTTGATACTCTATTTTCAAAACGGTATAATATATTATCTAACATATGTCAAGTACTTTTATAAACGACCAAAATATCACTGAATCCTAAAGAAAATGATTTTGAAATTTACTCTATGGTCTAGAGCCGCTTCGTGCCACTGAAGGTTTATAAGTTACCTCGCATTTATATATACTAGACTCAAACCCACAAGGTAGATTTAGTATACTTAGCACATTACAAGAAGAAAAGTAAATGACAATGCATACCCAAATGTAATTGGCGCCTTGATGCTTTTCTGTTTAGTGTCGTCTGTAGCTAGGTGCAAGACGTCATTTACCAATATCCCACTAGAAGAGGTTTCACTAGATAGATATGCAACTTTATAGCCACACGCATTGCGTTCTACCGAGCATTGGCTTCTTTGTCCACACATAGTATCATTGCATTGAACTATATGGCTTGTTGATGAAGCATTAGGGCTATAAGTATTAAAATCTATTTGCTGGAAAAAAATGAAACTATATGAGAAATAGCTACTATTAAGATTTTGGTTTCATCTTAGATGTCAACCTGGTACTAGAAGTAGTTCATAGTATCTTGTGGTTGGTATGTATAATTGAATGACTTCACAAACCCCACAAAAAGAGAGACATTTGGTGATCTTCAGAGCAAACCATTCTTGAGAGTCGTTTGGCAAAATTTTGTGAGTTGGAGGGAGTATTTTTTTATTTTGTTGATGTGGGATGACTTAATTGTTATACTAAAAAATAAGAAGGCGAGATAATCTTTTCAGTAAAAAATATAGATAATCATGTGGTGAATGGCATACTCTTTCTGATCCTAGCAAGAGACCTCGTACACAATTGTTATTGCAATCACATGGAAGCCAAAACAGATCACTACCGGTGTCAAGCGCCACAATAAATGATAGAGGAGGTGTGCCCACTGTGACATTTGCATAGTGTAAACTGAAAATTCAAACAACAGATTTATTCATTTATTCATCGCATTATTCATCTTAATGAAATGGTAAAGATAGTATAGATACATGTTTGTTGTTGAATTTGCTATAATGAACACAAATACTATGTATGTTCTTATAAATAAAATTCTTTAATGGTAATAAGAAAGCCAAAAAAGCCCATAGATCTATAGCAACTAATAGCTGAAACAGTATATATGGTTGATGGTCTCATGGACTCCAACCATGGCCCAATTACGGAATCACAGATCAAGCCCATAATGGGATCAAGCCCTCGGCGGGATTAGCCCATAAACGGGATTAGCCCTTAATGGGATCAGCCTATGAACGGGATTAATATTGATTAGCCGTTGAGCCTAATTAGGAATCGGACCCACGACAGGAACCCACAACCAGGCCAGGCTGGACAGCAGACCTCGAGCCTGGGCGAAGTTCTAGTGAGGTCGGGATATTCCTAGGGCTTATGTGGCAGGCTATCATTCGTGCATAGCTATCTGGCGGCAGGCAGGAATACACGGCAGGAACGTGGACTTAAAGGAGCAATCACTACACAACGTCCAAAACATTACAGGAGTCTTATTCGATTGGCATATAATTAATAGCATTTATTGTATCAGTTTCCTCCTAGAATACTAGTTCCTATAATCTATAAATACTTCCTGTAAACTTCCTATCAAGGGATCGAACTTCGGAAGAAAGAATACTGTCTTACGCTGCCATATTTTCATCTGCTCTCGTAGATATAACTCTCGTAGTTGGATTAAACTCCATTAATGGTAATGTTTGGCAAAACAAGCTATCAAGTTGATATGTTCATCACGGTAACTTATGACATATAGGTTATAGCTTATATCACATAAGCTAGTCAATCTCATATAGTGTCTCATATGGTGCTCGGTAAACATATAAGTCAGTGTACACATATAAGATGACATAAATGGTGATGGAGTATATTATAATACACCATAAGGGTACCAGCTTTGCGCCAAGGAACCTCCGTAATCGGCTAGGGCAAATCCGGCCAAGGCCAAGCCCCTGCTGAGGTCAAGCCTAGAACAAATTCTCAGATCACTGAGATAAGCCAAGAACTGCAGCCGAGGCTGACCCCCGGCTCAGGTCAACTCATCAAGGCCAACTCTGGTGTGGCGGCCGAGCCCAAGGACAATCATTGCTCAAGCTAAGCCCGGCACATCCAAGCCGGACCTTGATATTCCTGGACTTAGCCTCACTTGTGTTGAGATCCATCATATGGGCTGAGCTTCCCGACCTTTGAGCTTAGCATTCACAATTTGAGCTAGACTTCTCTACATCTAGGCTGAGCCATGCTCGGGACCTCGAACAAACATCCTAGACTTAGACATTTCAGCACTAACCTTCCGCATTTCGAGGTCTGACATCATTCATTGTGTTATGAGGCTTACACGTGTGGCTTATCTAGCTATTGTGTTACACAAAGAATAGTAGTCGGTACAACACTATCAATCAATCAGAATATCATCTCACCAATTAGTCTTACACATGGCAAGGTGACATTTTCCTATTAGATTATTTAATTTACTTGTTCTACAAATATTTCCATATTACACTATAAATATCCACTGGCCCTAGGGGGAGGGCAACTGGGGCGACTGTCCTAGGCCCAAAAAAGTAGAAAGAAAATTAGGCCCGAAATTATTTCTTTATATGTAATGTCAGTGGGCTTCTTTTTCATATATATATATATATATATATATATATATTCAATTAATTAATTAATAAGGCCTAATATTTAATTTTTATTGACAAGTTAATATTTTAAAACATAAGTACAATGTCTTGATCAACTCCGCCATGAGATTATTTTTGGTATCATGCATGTCCCAATCCAGGATAAAGGAGGAGGGTGTTGTGGTAGGTGCGTGACGGCCAATAGTATCACCTAGTCACATCACATGACATGAATCGAAATATGAATATCGCTACAATTAGGTTGTCGCCCGCAAGCGACACGTCATCCCTCCGCCTGGCGGTGGTGTCAAATATGCAAGGGCGCGCTACACTTCATAGGTCTGAGTGTGGTGATAAGAATGTTAAGGTTGCTAGGTCGCCACCCGTAAGCAGCGCGTCATCCCATTGCCCGGGGATGATGTCAAATATGCAAGGGCATGGGGCATATGAGGTGGGACTAAGAACAGAATGTGGAGTGCTAGATTGCGTTTTGGGTCATGGAATGTTGGGTCTTTTACTGGCAGATCTTCCGAGGTAGTCGAAGTTATGAGGAGAATGAATATCAGCATTATGTGTGTGCAAGAAACTAAATGGGTTGGAGAGAGAGCACGTGAGATTAATCCCGAAGGTTTTAAGTTGTGGTATTCGGGAAGTGACAAGACCAGAAATGGGGTAGGCATTATTGTGGCGCGTGACTATGTTGAGGATGTGGTAGAAGTCCTCAGGAAGAACGATCGCATCATGAACATTAAATTGGTGATAAGGGGTGAGATTGTGTCTGTGGTAAGCGCCTATGCACCACAAGTGGGATTGGATGGATCTACAACTCAACAGTTCTGGGGAAGATCTTGAAGACGTTGAGCGATGAGTGTCAAGGGAAGAGAAGTTGGTCACAGGAGGTGACCTCAACGGGCATGTGGGCTTGAGTCGTGATGGCTTTGAGAGTATTCATGGCAGACATGATTTTGGCACTAGAAATGAAGCGGGAAAGAACATTTTAGATTTTGTCTCGCCGTATGAGTTGGCTATAATGAACACTTGGTTTTAGAAAAGAGACTCTCACCTTGTAACCTATAGAAGTGGAGCTAATAGTACCCAGATTTAAACTTTTTAGTACGGACCACTTGGAGAACTAGCTACACTGATCATAAGGTTATCCCAGGTGAGAGTGTTGTCACTCAGCATAGGATGTTTGTGCTTGATTTTCGAGGTAAGAACCATAGAAGACAAGTTAAGCAACAAGTGGAACCAAAGATAAAGTGGTGAACAGGTGGAGGCTCGAGGTGATCTTCAACAAAGCTTTACACACAAAATGGTCGATGAAGGTGTATGGCGTATTGATAATGAAACACATGTGGAGGAAGTGTGGTTATCAATGGAGTTGACCATTAACAAAGTGGCAAAGGAGGTACTTGGAGAATCTAAAGGATGTCTGCCACCCAAAAAGGACACGTCTTGGTGGAATGATGAGGTAAAACAAGTCAAAAGGAACAAAAGAGATTGCTACAAAAAGTTGGGGACAAGTTGGAGTGATGAGAACATAGAAGCATACAAGGAGGCTAAAAGACAAGCAAAGAAAGCCATAAAGGAAGCACGAGGGAAAGTGAACAATGAGTTGTATGAAAAGTTGGACTCTAAGGAAGGAGAACAATATATTTATAGACTTGCTCGTCTTCGTGATCGCAGGACTCAAGATATCACAAAAGTTAAGTGTGTGAAGGATGTCAATCAAAAGATATTAATGGAGGACGGAGAGATAAAAGAGAGGTGGAGGTCATACTTTGATACACTATTCAACGGGAACAAAGCGCAAGATATCGATGATTTGACCATACCGGATTGTATGGTAAATCGTGATTTTGTGAGAAAGATCCCAACAACGGAAGTTAAAGAGGCTCTGAGGGAGATGGGGCGGAAGAAAGCAGTGGGTCCAGATGGCATACCGATTCAGGTTTGGAGAAGTTTGGGAGAGAGAGACGTCGAGTGTTAACTAGTTTCTTCAACATGATTGGGAGAGACAACAAGATGCCAACGAGTTGGAGGAATAGTACTCTTATCCCCTTATTTAAGAATAAAGGTGATATACAAGAATGTACCAACTATCGAGGGATTAAGCTTATGAGTCACACCATGAAACTTTGGAAGCGAGTGATTGAGCAAAGACTTTGAAGAACTATGAAGATTTCAGAGAATCAATTCGGTTTTATGCTTGGTCGCTCAACAACTGAGGTCATTCACCTTTTTCGGCAACTTATGGAGAAGTATAGAGACGCTCACAAGGATCTGCGTTTGGTGTTCATTAACTTAGAAAAGGCTTATGATAGGGTACCTCGAGAAGTTAGTTGGTGAGCCTTAACTAGAAAAGGCATATCACATAAGTATATCAACATCATCATGGATATGTATGAGGATTGTACTACAAGTGTCCGTACTAGTGTAGGAAGGATTGCGGAGTTCCCTATTACCATCGGAGTGCACCAAGGATCGGCTCGGTGCTCTTTCTTATTTGCCATAGTCATGGATGAACTTACGAAGTCAATTCAAGACGATCTACCGTGGTGCATGATGTTTGCCGACGATATTGTATTGATTGATGAGACGCAATCAGGTCTTAAAGCAAAGTTGGAAGTATGGTGACAAACATTGGAAACAATGGTTTCAGACTAAGTCAGAGCAAGACGGAGTACATAGAGTGCAAGTTTGGTGGAGGTAGAAGCAGTGGTAATAGCGGAATTACTCTAAATGGTAACGAGATACCGGTCAGCGATATGTTCTGTTACTTGGGCTCCATAATTCAGAAGGATGGTGAGTTAGATGGAGATGTATCCCATAGAATCAGAACAAGGTGGATGAAGTGGAAGAGTGCGTCAGGATTTCTATGCGATAAAGGTATGCCGACTAGACTGTAGGGTAAATTTTATAGGACAACAATTAGGTCTGCATTACTGTATGGCGTAGAGTGTTGGGCGGTGAAACAATGTCACATTCAAAAGATGAATGTGGCAGAGATGTGCATGTTGCGTTGGATGTGTGGGCATATTGGGAAGGACCGCGTGAGGAATGAGACAATCAGACATAGGGTAGGAGTAGCACCTATTGAAGACAAGATGTGGAAATCACGCCTATGGTGGTTTGTTCATGTGCGTAGAAGATTGAGTGATGCACCCGTCAGACGAGTTGAGATGTGTGGAGAAGAGGCAGGGAAGAGAGGGAGAGGAAGGCCCATACAGACGTGGGTTAGGGGGGTCCGAAGTGATATTGCTTCTTCTTGGATTGGATGAGGGTATGGCTTTGGAGAGTGCAAAGCGAAGGGCGGATATTCCAGTGCAGGAGTGATAAAACGGCAAAACGTCACGGTTATTTAGGCAATAATTAAATAAAAACTTACCTACGATGGTTGTCGCCGCTTGTAGTATCCACGGTTTACGGTACTGAGGTAGTATAACCTTCCAACGGGACGGAGGTAGTATAAAACTTATAATCTAGTTTACGGTATCCAGACATACTCATAGTATGAACTCTCTCTTTTCACCCATAGCGAATTAGCAAGCAAACACCTAACAAGATTACGGTTATAATTGTTTGTTCCAACATTAAGAATAATAAATTTACAGTTCGGTCTATATGATACAGCTCCACCTTTCCATTTGAGGAAACAAAATTCAGTCTAAAATAAAGAAGGGATAGATAAGAGTACGCTCAAATGAGCATTCTTTGAAATGAAAAATGAACTCTCTACAAAACAGAAATGAGTAGAGTAAAAAGACAACCTTAAGAAAACAAAACCGGACGGACATACGTGCGTGCAACCATCAAGAAAAATATAAACAAGCATGCCATATAATTAATTTGGGGATAATAGAGGAGGTGAGTAAACCTACTATCCCAGATTAACGAGCCGGGCAGTCTCATTCCCAGCTTCGAAAGTGAGCAGAGATGAATTGCCGCCGGAGTAGGCAAGGCGGCGGCCGTTGGTACGGCGGTGTTTATCTCGCGACACCCACGACGAGTAGTACTCGACGCTTCCCTTTTCCGGCAGGCCTTGGAGGTCCAAGATAGTGCTGACCGGATCAGAGTACCTGTGGTGGAAATTGAACCCGAATGTCCCAAAGGCTTCGCCATGGTGGGACTGGAGAATAACCCAAAACATCGCCAACAAGGAAAGGGTGAGGAAGAAAGTAGAAGAAGCCGCCATGGGTAAGAATCCAAGAGAAAAATGTGGTCAGTTCCAGGGGAAGCTCGTCGGGTGGTGTGTACATCTTCATATACTGAGTAGATTGTCAAAAAAGATGGCTGCACACGTTATTACAGCTACTTTTATCATTATCCTTTGTGACCACGTATTGAAAACTTTGAAAAAAAACTGCCAACGGCGTGGTCAACCATTCATATAGGATGGTAAGGAGTAAAACATTAACAAAATCGTACGACAGGAGTCTTTATTCATTTATTCCCTGTACAGGAGCTATGCCCTTCTTTGTAAATTACTCCCTCCGTCCCTAATCTTTCTCCCTTTTCGGCTGGGCACATTTATTAAGATAGTGGATTTGTGTGGTGGAGAGTTGTGCAGAGGAGAGAGAAATGTGTAAGAATGTGTAAGAATGGTTGTGAACCACAAATTTTTTGCTAAAAGGGGGAAGAGGAGATAATTTTGGGACGGACGAAAAAGGAAAGTTTGAAGATAATTTAGAGACGGAGGGAGTAAATAATTTACTTTTACTTCGATCAGAATCATTTCGATTTCTCACGCAACAATTAACCCTCTGTCCTCTCTCTGTTTTCACGAAACATCCTCCTTCTCTCGCTTTTCATCTCCCTCTCCCACATCTATTTGAGTCAGTTTTGAATGGTGAATTTTATCCCCAATTCCGGCATCGGTGAGTGGCGACAACCATCGTAGGTAAGTTTTTATTTTCTTCTCCTCTTTTTCATTCTTCTTCTTCCTCTTCTTCCTGTTCTTCTATTTTCTTGTTCTCTTTTGTTTAATTTGCTCGGCGGTGGGGATGATGACCCTTTTGCTCTTATGTGGGTAAAGTTAATTGGCCACTAGATTACAAAACACAAATTTTTTATTTGAATTTGCTTTAATTTTCTTCTTTCTTTACAGATCTATTCCATTCCATATAGATCTGTTTTGTCCGATTTTTTGTTGCTTTTTTGTTCTCTCTTTCAATTTTGTTTGGATTTTGTTCTTTTGATATTTAATTTATAATTTACATTAGAATATAATTTTTTAGTTTTGGTTTCAAACAATTTTTTGTAACTTTTCAGTTTTGTGAATTGAATCAGAAATGACTGTAATTGCTACTCTAATGGAATTTTTGTTATATTAAGATGAAAATATTATTCCTTTTTAGCAAAAAAAATGTTATTTCTTTGTAAATACAATATTAATAATGACATGATTTCTGTTGGTCCCGGATAGGGTAAAAGTCTAGAGGGGGTGAATAGACTTTTAAATCTTTTCGACCTTTACAAAGATTTCCCTCTAGAGGAGTTGATCTATAATCTTTTGAGAGATTAATAGATGCACAGCGGAAGTCTTTACCCTTTATATAATGAATGTTTTAACCACTTTCTGATCTGGGGAAGATTGGACTTAGATAGCTAGCAGTTGGCTTGGCAGTTGGCTTAGCAGTTGGCTATGTAGTAGGGAACTGCTGAGGCAACTGCTAGACAAATACAGACTTTATGATGAAAATGATGATGGAATATTGTTTAGGATGATGAGGGCAGTGGGACAATGTCCTTTAGTTGAAAGGAAGCTACAACTTTATTTCAGCAGTGGTCTCAGCGGTTGGGTGGTACTGAGGGAACTGCTGAGCCACCTGCTTGTATTATAAACTGGGATTTCGTAGCTTGGTTCAAACTGCCTTCTTACTAGAGGTGTTATGAGACTATGATGATACTTGAGATGTTCACAGGAAGTAAGATTGTATGAGCAGAGGGCTCAGCAGTTGGGTGGTCACCAAGGGACTGCTGAGGCATCTGCTATACATGAAGAGTGAATTCATGGAATATGATAGAGCGACTCTTCTAGTGATTATGTGACCTCGTATAGTGTGATGAGGGCTTCCTGATTGGATACTGAGCTTGAGGATTTAAGGTGTTTTTGCCTGAGCAGAGGTCTCAGCAGTTGAGTGAAACCAGGGAACTGCTGAGCCACCTGCTTCAGTAAGAGAAGTGATTTCTGGCAAAGTGTACCTTTAGACAGTGATGTTGCGAAGCTCTTGTGAAAAGGTTATCTCAAGAAAAGGTGAGTGATTAAGCAGTAGGATAAGCAGTTGGGTCAGTTAAGACAACTGCTTAAAATGCTGCTGACAAACTACAATTTCTTATACGAGAAGTGTTGGGTGTGTGCTTTGTTGACTAAGGAAATCAACACACAATATATCCTGGTTCAGAGGTGGTGTAATCCTCCTACATCCAGTCCCATCCTATTTCAAATGGATTTCACTAATGTATTAAGCCCAATACACTTAGTGTCAATCTAGCCTTGACAACTCTGACCTAGATTGAAGGTGTTTCACGAGGAGTACAACACCACTCCAAGTTACTCAGTCCTTTAGGTTTTTCTCAATTGATCCAGTGGGGATCAAAAGGTACTCATGTCTTATCTACCCTCACTCAGGCCGGGAACAACTGTCCTCCTTAAGTGAGTACAACCACTTGTGAAAATTACAGGGAATTTTCTAGCCAACCAACTAAGAACTAAGCTCTAAAGATGTGGAAGTGAGGAACTAGTCTAAGAGCTTAGTGAAGCCTGAGTCAAAGCAGAGAGCGAAGTTATGATCAAGCACTTTCTCTTTTGCTGAATATTCTTTGATCGCTTATATGACTTCTCTGCTTTTGAACTCCAGAACTTGATTTATTCACTCAGGTTTCGGCCTTTATTTATAGGCGTTTTGGCTGATCAATCTTATCCGTTGGTTAGGATAAATTGATCTCTACCGTTGAACTTCTGGACTAGTACGAGTAGTACGTTTGTCTCTTGTGTTGTAGCAATAACTGCGACTGTCTCCGCAGAGCATCTTTACAAAGAGTGAACCCCATTGCTCCGGATCCCTTGGCATTAAATGCTGGTCATTCTGTGTCTTCCAATCATACACGAATAAATGTGTATGATTTTTCGGGCCTTTCCTATTGTGACTAATATTATTTGTGTACAAATAAAATATACCGGTAGGATCTAAAATATTCTGTTAAGGTAAATAAATATTACCTTATTGCATTTTTTACTTTCCGGTATTATTTTATTTGTATCAATAAATTGTACATTTATTTGTCACTTCAGGATACAAATCAACCGCTAATGTCCACCATGTGCCTTTCCCTTTTTGTTACGAATTTAATTTGTGATAAAGTAAATATATACCGGTAGGATTTAAATATCCTTTTTAAGGTAAAAATTACCTTATTGCATTTTGACTTTTGCCGGTATAATTTACTTAATACAAATATTTTTCTTTTGATTTTCGGTCACTCTTGGTTGTGTATGGTCCATCAAACATTTCGAATATAAACCAAGTATTTAACTGGTAGGATAACAAATCCTATTAAGGTAAGAATTATTACCTTATTGCATTTTGTATTCCAGTTCTAATAAATAGTTTATTTGTTCGAAATGTTTGTTGTAACAAATGAATTTAACTGGTTGGATTTATGAGAAATCTTTTGTTTAAGATAATAGAATATTATCTTATTGCTTTTTATGTTTTTCTAGTTATATTTATTTGTTAATAGATAGTTCGGATGGGACACTTTTGGAAACATTTCACTAGTGCAACCAGCAAGCAAAATACAATCATTTGAATGCTACTAAAGGAAGGGGGCGACATTAGAAGAGCTTTTGGCATCATCAAAAGAACGGTACATCAAAATCTAGGGGACTAACAATTTCCCCCTTTTTGATGATGCCAAAAGAATATACAAGTCAAAGAAGGAAATTATGACAAATTGGTTTTGACTTATTTCTTCCCCCTCTTTTGGTAGCATGATCCCTCTACTAAGTTCTTCTTCGTCTTCTGTTAGATGTCTCCTCAGATACAAGGTTTGGAGATCTCCTTCTCCTTCTGTGATTGTCTGCTTCTCTGAGGCTGTTCGGTCTTTCGTAATAGACTCGACGAATGGTTGAGAGGGACAGAGCTTCATCAACCCTTTGCACTTGAAGCCAGTGAAGAACGAATCGTTCTTCATATGTGACTCGTGCAGTTACTTGAGAGAGTAACTCCATTGGAGCCAGTCTCCATGCCCTCCATTTGAGGACTCTCCTAACTTGATTGTCAAGATCGACCTTTTCTCTAAGAAATAAGGCTTGTGACTCTTGATTTTCAATCTGGCTTTGTTGTTGTGGAGTCAAGGTAGGTTGTTGGGAGGAGGATGGTTGGGCTAGTGTCAGCTCAAGGAATGGTTCTTGGGGCATTCTGAAGGAGGGATTCATTTTGGAACTTTTACGAAGGGGAGTTTGAGATTAATAGCCAGAGGACCGAAGAAGGATTATTTGAATGAGATGTGTGGTTAAGGAGGAGAGGAATTTATATGAAGTGTGATGTCTCTTCATATCCTGAAATGGGTGGTAATCGAAGCGTGTTTTAGTCTTTCATTAATGTTGTTACGGCTGGTTCTTCTTTTAAGACAATAAATGTCTTGATCAGAGGGTGAGAGAATGTTTTAGAATTTATTCTCTTAGAACAACATTAATGAGGAAGTTGATTGAGCTTCTCCGATTACAAGGTGTTGTTTGCATGCGACAATTTATTCTTTCAAGAATGGGTCTAACATTTCTTTTTGCATGCATGGTCTAGCTTAGAAATGGATAGTTTTAGGATACTGTTTTAGCTTCTTTAAGGCTTTGAGCAATAATCTAAGAGAATATGGTGCATAACTTTTAAGATGGTTGTTCAAAGAGAAATTTGAAACAGTAGCATTCCCTTTTCAATCCATGTATGAAACTACTGTGTGTGGATCAATATCGTACCTTTTTGACTTGGTAGTTGATATTTCCAGTAGTTTTGAGCTAGTTGTTCCTCTCATTCTCCATTGATCATGACTCTCAGTTGGTGGTAGCAGGTTCCTTTGTTTTAGCTGCTGAGTTTTGAGTCACGATCTTCGTTTGTCATCCCTCTTTTGCCATCCTCTTTTCTACAAAGCAAGGGCCAGAGTTGCTTGAATTCTGGTGGCTTTGTATCAGAAATATTCCCACCTCTGGTGGAGGTATTCTGTTTGACTTTATGACAGAGACGCTCCTTCTCTGGTGGAGGTATTCTGTTGGCTTCCTGTATCCATTCCCCCTCAGTTAATGGACTGTTGTGTGTCCTGAATTTGAGCCTTTTGTTGACAGC